CAATTAGGCATCTATATCATAACATATATTTAATAAAGGGTCGATCATTTTAGGCATACAAGAATATACATCTGGAAAAATGTCTTTGTAATTTACACTATCTTCAAAAAGTGAAATGTGTGACTATATTAGTAAAGAACAAAATTTGAGACTTCCAGCTTGCATGAAATGAGAACATTGTCATAATGTATCCAAATATGTTATGGCTTGAACATATTTTTGTTTTAATCCGTATATTTTTTAATTGGGGAAATATTGAGTTCAGATTATATACCGGGCACTCTACTTTGAACTAAGTGGTGATTTAGAGAAATACAGAATGACAGATTTTTTTCCCCCTATAGATCAGTATCCTGACATCCCAATGAAAAGGTACTAGAAATTATGCAATAAAGATAGAAAAATTTTTGATTATTCAGGGGTATTGTGACCAGAAAGTTGGTGCTTAAAAATTAACTTGTCTATTCTAGGGAACTTGTATATTAGAATTTATAGTTTTGAAATTCAAGATTTGACAGAAAAGTAGAGAAAATAAAGGTAAAGAACAACTGGAATGGGATATACATATATATATGTATAGAATATGCACATTTTCTAAATATATATCATACATATTTTAAACTTCTCATTAGGGATGAAACATAGAGAGATGAGATATATCAGTAACAAATGGTAGAAAAACTAGTTGAAAATACTCTCAACTGAAGGAAAAATGTGTAATAATAAAAGTTCTCAGAAAAGGGATTCAGCAGCTTTATGAAAATCCCTTTTGAAGGCCTTTTATAAAGAACTGGATAAAAAAAAATAAAAAAATAAAAAAAAAGAACTGGATGGATTTAATTTTGTTGTTGAAATTTGAGTGTTGAGTAGAAGATATGATCTGAGTTTGTATTGCCTTTCAACTTGGATTTCATAGAGTAAAAAAATAATTTAAATTTTGGTTTCTTCCCATTTTGGAAATTGATGATTTAGGTAAACCTAGACAACCAAGATAAACAAAAACATCACAAACAAACATATAACACCTTTGTTGGTTGTTTGCCTGTTTGTCTTTTGGTCTGTATGTTAAGCGGTACAAGGGTTGGATGTTTGGTTTAGTGGAGAAGAAAGGAAATATTTGGTATTAAACACCAGTAAAAAGAGAATGTAATTTATCAATGTGAAGCTACATACCAAGGTTTCTAGATCTCAGCAGTATTCACATTTTATGTCAGATGTTTCAATGTTTTTGGTGGCTGTTCTGTGCCCTGAGATTAGCTTCTTCCCTGGTTTCTCACACAAGTAGCCAGAAGGTATCTGCAGTAAGAATCCAGGTACAAGAAGCCTGGTAAATATTTGCAAGGATCCCAGAAAGATGGCAGTTATTTCCTCTCCTAGGGGCAGAGGTAAATATTTTAGGAAGGAGGAGAAATCAAGAGGGACTTAGTTTTCTAAATTCTCTGGAATCTTGTTATAAATGCTATATTCAATGATAGGAGTTTATAAAGTTGGGTTTCAGTGGTATGTAGACCACATGATTCTACTGAGACAATTCTTTGGCAGAGGGAATTAAATTGCTGCTCTTTAAATAAAATGGGAGACTCCAAATAATGAGCTCACTTTTCCCAAGACATTATTGATTGTTGACAGTGACTGTCACATGAAAGTTGCTTTCATATTTGTTTGGGTAAGTCAGGGAATGAATGGCATGCTCTGCCAATTACCAACAGTATATAAAGGTACAAGGCAAGTAGGGACCATACCTCACCACATCCACTTGCAAACCACCTGAATTCTCTTCTCCTGACAACATGTGTTGCAACTACGGGAACTCCTGTGGCTATGGCTGCGGATGCGGCTATGGCTATGGATGTGGCCCCTATTCTGGCTGTGGTTATAGAACTGGCTATGGCTGTGGCTATGGCTCAGGTTATGGCTGTGGCTATGGCTCAGGCTATGGCTGTGGCTATGGCTCAGGTTATGGCTGTGGCTGTGGCTATGGCTCAGGTTATGGCTGTGGCTATGGCTCAGGTTATGGCTGTGGCTGTGGCTATGCCTCAGGATGGGGATGTGGAAGAGGCTCCAGCTATGGATGTGGATATGGCTCTGGCTGCTGGGGCTACCGACCCCTTTGCTACAGAAGATGTTATTCTTCTTGCTGCTAGATCACCACTCTCCAAGCACCATTAGCTTCTGAAATGACACATCTAAAGACACAATTGATTCAAGGATCCATACCCCAGGATTTCTATGTCCAGGAAACTGCATGCTTGACAGAGTCTTTGAGCCCCAGTGAACATTTGTTAAGATGGCATATTGTGGCTCTAGGCTGTGTGGTATCATCTGACTATTGCCCAAAAGTTGGTTTTTACTCCCTTAATCTGGATTCCGTGTTGTGACTGTGCCAGCAATCTTAACATCCTACAGTAGGGCAAAAAACTTATTCTCAATAAAAATGGTTCCTTGCTTCTAATAAATCTCTGTGTTCTTGCTTGTGAATTATTCCTTTCTTGAGGTGTGGTGACCCCTCTTAAAAATCGGGCTGACAATACATTTCATCAATGTGGGGACACTTCCTTGATATAATATGAGCATTTCTTGTCACAGGTACATCAGAGAGAATGTTTTCCCGACCTATGTCTTGTACCCCACCCCCATTCTGAGGGACTCACAAATCATACAGTGTTTTAGTACTATGCCCTGGAAATCACATTGACTCTGGAATGGAGCTGGAGGGGGAAGAGGAGAACGAATGACACCTATTCATGAGGTTGTGACAGAAGCCCAAGGGAGAGGAGGTGTGGCCTGAGTGCTGAATGGATGGATGAATAGCATGGGAGAGAGTGTTTCCAGAATTAATGAGGAATTAGAAGCAGACTCAGAAGACTAATGAAGAACTAGGGGAAGGATAAATTAGAAGAAAAATGTGGTATCATATGTGCATTTTGATGAAAGTATAGACATATTTGTTTGGATTTTTAAGTTTAAGAAATTGATTTAAGTCACTCACTTTACAAATAGTTTTGAATGTTTTTTTTTACAAAGATATATTTATTTTATTTTTCAGAGAGAGAGAGGTGGGGGGATAGAGAGTGAACACGAGTAGGGGGGTCTGAGAGAGGGGGAGATAAGCAGACTCCTGCTGTGCAGGTATCCTGACACCTAGCTCCATCCCAGCATCCTTAGATCATGACCTGATTCTAAATCAAGAGTTGGATGCTTAAGTGACTGTACCACCCAGGTGCCCAAGTTATTATTATTTCTGAAAGGAAATGTCCTACATACTTAAGACATACTGTAGATGAATTTCCTGCTTTCAGAGTATTTATATTCTAGTAGGTGATAATAAGAAAAACTAAGAATTAATTGAGATAAATTTAGACAGATAATTGCTATGGAAGGAATAAAACAGCTTTCTGGAGAAGAGAGTGAAGATTGAAGTATTAGAGAGATAGTTCAAGGAGGTATTTTGATATTTTGTGTTAAATGAACTAATGTTTGTTCCAAAAAAATACACTAGAAAGGGCTGTAATAAGTGTAAAGGATAAAGAGAAATGCATTGTTTTGGGGATGATCAGTGGTGCCACAATTTTTAATGGAGATGAGCAAGGACTAGTGTTTAATGGTGTACTCTAGTACCTTAATGGTTGCAGATCTAAGAATGAGATGAAAGTTGAGTCTGCTTTCTGAGTTTGAGAGCCTACCACTTTGTTGGGTTCTGAACTCAGTGTCCTTTCCTCACATGACTTTCCAAATCTCTACTACTGTATCCTCTCACATAGAATTCTTGTCAGTTTCGTTGGGCCTGTTTTATTTCCATGACCAGGGTCACTGCAAGATCTGAGTCTGAGGTCCCTGGAGCCAAGAACCACTACAAAATGGCCAGTTTCAAGGAAAATGGATCTGTCATCAAACTCAGCCTCAGAATGTGATGGTGTCCAGGATATAATGTCTCCTACTCTTGAAGAAATAGGGGTTCTTAAAGAGTTGGGCAGTTTTCATACATGGAATATTTGTATGTCTGATGTGAGGACTGTACTCTGGGTAAATCTGAGGTGGGGAAATCCTTCAAAGAAGAGAATGAAATTTGTATAATTACAGTTTTTGAATTCCACTCATTGTTTTATTATGATCCCTGTCCTTGAAGGCTTTGTGAATGAGGGAAGAACATCATCCATTAAGCACCAATACTGTAATTTATATATTCATTCATTTATTAGGCATATAAGATCTGCCTGTTTCAGAAACTGGGCATAGATAAAACCAAGACAAACATGATAAGCAAAAAACCTTTAAAAAAAAAAAGAGGTCATGTAATACCTTCCTTCTCCTCCTCCTCCCTCTTCATTGGCTGCATGTCTGGTAATGGAATGTTTGGATGCTTGGTTTAGATGAAAAGAAAGGAAATATTTGGAATTAGACATCAGTAAAGAGAGAAACTAATTTATTTCTACCAAGTTACAAACTAAAGATTCTAATCTCATCACTTGACATTTTTTATCAAATGTTTCAATGTTGTTGAGGACTATCCTCTGTCCTGATACTAGCATTTTCCCTGGCTTGAACCACAAGGAGCTAGTAGGTGTCTGCAGTAGGTATCTGGGTGCAAGAAGCCTGGTAAAATGTTGCAATGATTCCAGAAAGGATATGGGAGTTATTTTCTTCACTATGGGCAGAGGTAGATTTTTTTTGGGCAAGAGGAGAGATCAAGAGGCACAAAATTGTCCTAAATTCCCCCAATCTTGTCATATCAGTTACATTAAATGATAGGAGGTTTGAAGTTGGGTCTCAGTGGTATGTAGAGCACATAATTCTGAGACAATTCTTTGGCAGAGGGAATTAAATTGCTGTTCTTTAAATAAAATGGGAGACTCCAAATAATGAGCTCACTTTTCCCAAGACATTATTGATTGTTGACAGTGACTGTCACATGAAAGTTGCTTTCATATTTGTTTGGGTAAGTCAGGGAATGAACGGCATGCTCTGCCAATTACCAACAGTATATAAAGGTCCAAGGCAAGTAGGGACCATACTTCACCACATCCACTTGCAAACCACCTGAATTCTCTTCTCCTGACAACATGTGTTGCAACTACGGGAACTCCTGTGGCTATGGCTGTGGATGCGTCTATGGCTATGGATGTGGCCCCTATTCTGGCTGTGGTTATAGAACTGGCTATGGCTGTGGCTATGGCTCAGGCTATGGCTGTGGCTGTGGCTATGCCTCAGGATGGGGCTGTGGAAGAGGCTTCAGCTCTGGGTGTGGATATGGCTCTGGCTGCTGGGGCTACCGGCCCCTTTGCTACAGAAGATGTTATTCTTCTTGCTGTTAGACCATCCCTCTCCAAGCCCTGTTTGCTTCTGAAAGGATGCATTTAGTGAGATGGCTGATTCAAGCCTCCAAATCCAAGATTTCTAAGCCTAGGAAATTGCATACTTGACAGAGCCTTTTTCCTCCAGTGAACATTTTTTTTTTTTTTTTAGTATGGCATCTCATGGCTTGAATCTATGTGGTATCATCTGACCATTTCCAAATATTCTATACTCCCTTAATCTGGATTCTGTGTTGTGATGTGCCAGCAATCCTAACATCTCACAGTTGGGGAAATCACTTATTGTCAATAAAAATGGTTCTTTGCTTCTAACTGATCTCCGTGTCCTTGTTTATGAATTACTTTTTGTTTTTTGAGGTTATAGGACCTCTCTTGTAAATTGGCCTGACAACATATTTTATGAATTAGGAGGTTCTTCCTTGATATAATACAAGCATTTCTTGTCATAAGTGCATCAGAGATAAGGTCTTCTCCACCTATTTCTTGTATTCCCCCATTTTCAGGTACTTATAACCCTACAGCAATCACACAGTATTTCAGAACTGTGCCCTGGAATTACACTATGTCTAGAATGGAGCCGGAGGAGAAAGAGAAGAAGGAATGATACCTATTTGGGAGGTTGTGACAGAAGTCCAAGGGAGAGGAGGTGTGGCCTGAGTGCTAAATGGATAAATGAATAGCATGGAAGTGAAATTTTTCAGGATTAACGAGAAATTAGAAGAACACTCAGGTGACACATGAAGAACTAAGCAAAGGATAAATTAGAGGAAAAATATGGTAGCATATCATGCCTTTTGATGGAAGTATATATTTGTTTGCATATATTGAATTTGAGGTAATTGATTTAAGCCACTTGTTTGACAAATAGTTTTGGGTGTTTTTGTAAGGGTACTTCCTTACACACTGAAGACATAGTATCAAAGTTGTAGGCCATTTTCTTGCTCTCAGAATGTTTATATTCTAAAAGGTGATAATAAAAAAAGCATTAATTGAGATACATTTAGACATAATTGCTATGGAAGGAATATGGCAGCTTCCTTGGGAAGAGTAAATGTTGAAACATTGGAGATAGGGTTCAAATAGGTATTTTGACATTTTCAGTCAAATGAACTGGTGCTCATTGCAAGAAAAAATAGAAAAGACGGTAGGTAGTAAGGGTAAAGGAAGAAGAGAAATTCATTATGTTTTGGGGATGATCAGTGGTGCCACAATTTTTAGTGGAAATGAGAAAGGTGCTTATGCTTAATGGTGCTCCCTAGTGCCTTAATTGGTGCAGATATAAGAATGGGATGAAAGGCCAAGTCTACTTTCGGAGTTTGAGATCCCTACTGCCATGTGGGTTCTGAGTTCAGTGTCCTTTCCTCATGTGACTTTCCAGATCTCTAACATTGGATCAGACAACAGAGAATGTTTTCTCAGGATCAGTTTTCACGGGCAGTGAAAAATGATTTACTGTCTCATCTTCATGACGAAGGTCACTGCACCAAATCTGAGCCCTGAGATCTCTGGATCTCGGAGACTTCACAGACTGGCTGTTTTCAAGGAAGATGATTCTGCCATCAAAGTCCAGCTTGCAGCGAGGTTATACCCAGGATATAATGTGTCTTACTGATGATGAAATGGAAGCTCTTGCAAGAGTTGAACACTTTTCACAGATGGAACATTCCTTCTTAGAGATAAGGAATGACTGCTTCGGGTAAATCTCAGTTATTCTTACAGAGAAGGCAATTCTAATAATTATTGGCTGAAAATACACTCATTTTTTTCATGATGACCTTTGTTTTCAAAGGCATTTTTAACAATTCAAGACTACTATTTATTAAGCATGTAAAAGGTAATTTATATTCCAGAAAAGAATCTTCACAATCTAACATTTATGTTTAAACCTCCAATATCATTACTGCCTTAGAAAACAATTGTGACTGTCAGCCAAGTGAAATGAGGAAATGATAATGTTAAAAGAGAGTTCATTATGATAAAATTAGAGAAAATATGTGTGTGTTATGTATGTCTCATTGGTGGATGAAGGCTGGGAAAAGTGAAAATACGGTTTCACATATGGATCACAATAAAACTGAATACTTTCTGTAGTCAGGAAATGATTTAAGTTTTTAAAATTCTTCATGAAGGAACACAAAATCTTTTTCTTTGAAGAGCTATTGCATATTATCAAGGTACTAAGTTTTAAAATCATTCATTTGTTCTTACGGTCATTTAAAAAAACCTTAACATCCATGTTCCAGCTTCATGTTATGTTTGGCATTGCAGATAGAAGCCCAAAACACGTAATTCTTTCAACAATTAAAAATGTTCCTTTGGGTACAAAATAGTAAATCACACATTCCCATTATAGTATATATGTTTATAGGTGTTATATGGCTCCTGAGAAAGAATTCAAGGGGGAAACCAAAATGCGTCATGACATAGAAAGAGAAGACTCGAAAAGAGTTAGAAATAGCTTCTGAAGGAGAAGGACATATAAGAAGAGCCATAAGGGATGACTGAAAATTGGTCTGTTACATGAGCAAGAAAATAAAATTCAAGGAAGAGGTATTAAAGAAATAGTAACTGCCAACTTATTTACGTTTTAAGTGGCAACCTCTGTTGGAGAACTTATAATCAGCATGACTCCCCTATGGTAATTCTGAAATTCTCTTTTAGTTGCATTGTTTAACATGGTAGCCACTAGACAGATATGGCACTGAGCACTTGAAATGTGGCTAGTCCAAAATGAAACACATCGTAAGTATAAAATACACACTAGATTTCAAAAACTTAGTATAAAAAAGAATGAAAACTATCACATAATTAAAAATATTGATTATATATTGTAATATTTTGGATATATTAGGTTAAATAGAATATGCTATAAAGTCGGTTCATCTGTTTTATCTTTTCCAAATGTGACTACTGGAAAATTCTAAATTTTATGTGTTTCATGATACATTTCTATTGTACAGTTTAGTTTTATAAAGGTCACAATCATCTGTTATCCAGGTATAAGGAATAGATTATTCTGAGACACATAGAATATAAGAACACAATAGCCAGTGCTAAAAATTTCAGAGGCTGCCTAATAATAAAGTTTTCATCTGAGATAGCAAATTAATTATCTTAAACAGTTTATTCAATAAATGGGATTAAAGAAAAGATAGATACCTACTTTATACCATACACAAAAGAAATGCCATATTGGTTGAAGTTGTAAACATGAAAGTTAACTTAAAGTATTAAAAGATTTTATAAACTTTCAGGAATTTTGTAAGCCAGTTAATTTGAAATTAGTCATCCTAAGAATATTTACACCATGGAAATTGGCAATTCTGACTCCCTACCTTCAGCAGAGGTCATTAAACAAATAACATCAGACCACTGTCCACATCCCTCTTGTTATTGAGAATATATTTTTTGAAAATTTTACAATATGGATGTATTATTTATGAGCCTTAAAAGAAACCATAGAAATTGATAAAGCAATATTGTAACCTGTCTTATGTCCAAAAATCTTTAGAGCCTATGTTAAATTGACCTATGTTTCCCTGTACATGACCCATTTTATTTAACTACACTCTCCTGCAAGATGTCATTCCCTCCAGGTCATCCCAATGACTCCACTCTAGGAAGAAAATTATGAAGATAGTGTTTAAAAGTCTAGGTTCCAGAGTCACACTACTTGTCCTCTGGTGTAGTCCTCATCAGCTAATAGCTGTGTGATCATGGTACATTAGTTAACTCATTTAACTCCACTGAGTCTCAGGATATTCAGAGGTAAAATGATAAAAATAGTGCTAGACCAGGATTGTTGAGAGTACAAAACAAATAAAATATGCAAAACTCTACACTGTGAGAACTCAGTAGATTTTTGTTATTTATTATTAGGTTGCTCCATATGAATTGCTGACACAATCATCTTAACATAAAAAATTTTATGGCTCAGCCTTACATATTATTTTCATTATACTGGCAATATTTTGATAATTCCAGAATTTCATAATCATTCATCTTAATTTTCTCATGCCAAATACATAGGTACACTCCCAAGTTAGATGTTTTGTACATTTATCATACATGTAATGTATTCCATAGTTATGAACCCTAACAAATGCTCTGATACCAAGTAAATTAACTTAGTGTTTGTCAATGTATTTTTCATAATAAATTAATGAGTTTTAGTGAAGTAGTTTATTTTCTGATAATTGGGTCCTGCTTTTTATTTTATCACCAAATTCTATTAATTACTAGAGAAGTTTCCATTAGATTTGGCAGATAGTATGGGATCTATCATGAAAAAAAAACTTTTTTTAAGGGGGAAGTGATAATAGTAGGTATTGGCTGCAGTATATTGAAAAGTGAATGGGTAAGGAAGAGCAAAATTGAAAATAGTCTAATCTTTCATGTAGCATGAGGTGGTAGGATAGGGAGTGGTCCAATGGAAATGATGATTCAGGCTCCCCAGATTTTTTTTTAAGATTTTGTTTATTTATTAATAAGAGACACAGAGAGAGAGGCAGAGACATAGCAGAGGGAGAAGCAGGCTCCCTACGGGGAGCCTCATGTGGGACTGGATCCCAGGACCCTGGGATCACACCCTGAGCCAAAGGCAGATGCTCAACCACTGAACCACCCATACATATGTCCCTCCCCAGAGTTTTTAAAGCACAGAGCTCATGCTTGAGCTTTAGATATCTACTTTTTATTCAATATTCTCTGCTCTGGAATATGCATGAAGTAGGTTTTCAAAAATTCTTGTAAAATTTAGTTGCACTGTTCAGTCACTGTCAGGAAAAAGACTCAATGGAACAATGAAGGCAAAAAACAGTCATGCCAAAGATATCTTAGAAAGAAAGCAGGTGATGTGAAATTTGGAGGGGTCACGGAGTTTGTAGGAATGGAGCCAATATTGAATATAGTTTAGTGGAAAGATTTGTGAAATTAGGACAGTCATAATTAGAAGGCAATCTAGAATCTGAGGTTTTAATTGTGACACGGATTTGTAGGTCCAGGTGCTTTTACACTATAGACTAAAATTGGAGATGTCTAGAAAAGCTATCATCATTTCTACTTAAATTCTAATTTACAGAATGTTACAAAGATTGTACTCTCAGTAGACAGATTGCAGATTCTGAGAGGCAGCTCTAGTACTACAGTGTTATGCTTAAGAGGGGTCATGGAGCAGGTTTGAGAGAGGACTGAGTTGTCTGCTGTGGCTGCGAGGTGAAGATTACAAAGAAAGAAAATCCAGATGATGGAAGTGTAAAATATTGGTAATTTTAGCCAGAAATTGTGAATATTTTACATTTGAGAAACTACTGGAAA